CTTCTTCAGTTCCCTATAACGGACCGCAGCGTGGCACTATAGGCGGCATCTATTTTCTCCGCGGCTTCTTGACATTCCTCATTGTACCAGTTGTTCTTTCGGGCTCGCTCAAATCGAACTACTTCTTCGGCGTCGGTACTTAATGATCGGGAAATGTAGTTCCACTGCTCGTTTATGTCGGATTGTCAGAGAGCAGGTGTGTGAGTCGAGTGGCGAATAAATTGGCCGTCTGTTGTGATTGCAGCTTTGCGACGTTAAGCTTTCCTTGCATTGTTGGGCGCACATTTTCGGCTGTACTAATTTAGTATTATTTCAATTGACGTATAATTAGATAGTCGTTTGTCCGACTTGTAACTCAATCAACATCAATTAGGATAGCATGCATGAAAAGCATGAGTAAAATACGCTCACTAGCCTTAGGCTGAATTTATATGAGAAAACTCGTTCGTGTAATTGATGATACAAAATTCGCTGCCCTCAAATTAGACAGCAAGTCAACGTTTGCAGGCGATTATCGCCTGTGAAAAAATCCGTTAGAAAGGATTATATCAATCTAGTTAAAGTGATCTACCTTTACCAAAAATCTCGAGCTTACAACAGGTTGACTAATAAAACTAAATATGTCATCGCGCATCCAGTAGCTTTATCAATTTTGCATAAATTCGATTTTTACACTCTTTCCTTTAAGCCTTTGATATGAGTTGAAATTCAAACGCATACGCGAGTACCGTTGTTTAATTTTTTGTTTGGCAATATTGTTAGTATGCCAACTTTAAATTTTTTTTTGATCCTGCTGACTTCTTTATTATTCTTGTAAATAGTTACACGTTTGTAGTTTTTCTCTTGTCTTGCTGTCTTGTTGCGTGAAACAGACGCTATTTCCTTTACAGTTCTTTCAACTCAGGTCGACATTGCATTTCGCAGCACACCAAAGTGTTATTAGTTCTGACATCCGCAGATTCATGCCTGAGTCTCCGGCAATTTATCTTTGTTACTTTTACTCAACAGGGTTGACAATGTATGTATATGCATGTATACTCTGCATGTCCTTTTGCCAACTAGCATTTGTTTTTAAGGTTTAGTAGACATCTATGCCTATATAACTGTGTGCTTAGTCTCTAATTTGTTATTGCATAGCTACGAGAGTCACAAGAACTCAAAAGCTGGTTGATGTTCTCTTCCATATACATATGTATCTAAATTTCCATAGACTTATGTACATATCTGTGGCATTTTATTAAAACAATCTAAGTGACTTTGAAAGGTTTGACTTTGAATTAAAATATAATAAGTTCCCCTTGAAAAAGCTTACATTTTTATTAAGCTTCCATTAAAAGGGCGTCTTAATCTACACTTATGCCTAGTTAATCCATAAAGTAATGCTTGGGAACCCAATGAAATATTGATTTAAAGGGAAAATAACCTCTCTGGAGATAAGTTGTTTAAGTAAAATGTCACAGTTATCTACGTAAGTAGTATGCACTTACATACATACATTACATGCGCTGTTGTTCCGGATTACTTTTTCCAAACTTTTGCTTTGTTAATTCTTTCTTTTTGTGCCACTAGTTTTTGGACAAATTGTGACATATCCATTTGGAAATTCGCTTTGCTTTGCATGCATAAAACAGTGGCTCTTTTTGCACCATCCAGTTTTCCAGCATGAAAACGCAAAATAAAGGAAAAGATTCGCTCCACTTTCAGTGAAAAATTGCAAACACATATGATGGCACTGAATACCGCTTGTATCTGTACATTAGAGCTGGGATACTATCTTGAAACTGTTGAAAGCTGTCGCCACTATCGATTGTTTTTGAAAACTATCGATGTCGGGTTTAGCGAAACTTCTCTCTTTATATCTCTTAACATTACATTAATTTTTTTTTATCCAAGAAAATTCACAATACAATCGGCAAAAAAAAATTTTAGTTATTGGAATTTTTAGCAACTATAAGCTTACACTGAGGTATAGTAAAATTGAATAAGCTATAAAACCGCTTACACAAAATTCTTATAGAAATTCGAATTAAAAAGCTTGAAATTTTAATGATTTTGTAGTTTTTTATGTTTACTACAACTACTAAAGTACTACTAGTAAACAAACAAAAAATAGTCAAAACTGCTAAAAATGTTGTGTTGCTATTATTTTGAGCAGTACTTTATTCGTTTTCTTATAATATGGTAAAATCTTAATAGTTTCCTTTGTCCGGATTTCGATATGCGCCGCCGCATTTGATCTCAGTTGAACTTTTATAAGTATGAGTTGTCAATTTAAACGAATATCTTTTGTTTTGTTTTGTAGTATTAGAAATGTATTATTATAGCCAATTTCACTGCTTTGCACTTCAAAAGGGACAAACATATGTATATATAATTCAGACGCATAAATGAAATAATTTTATTTTATTATGATAAGTATTTTTGGTACACTCAAATTTAAACAAATTTATATAATCTCTTTAACTTACAAAATAATTTATAAATTTTATAAATTTATTAATTATTTAATTTTTTAGCAATTTAGCATTTCAATTCAATACCTCTCACGACGATAGTACGATCGATACTATCGATGTTTTCAACTATCGTTTCGAAAACTATCGAGTGGTGGTACTATCGATAGTATCCCAGCTCTACTGTACATATGATCAGCTAGGTATGTATATACTTTTAAAACTCAGATCATGAAATCCGAAATTAGTTTTCACGGACTTACTGATGTAATTTACGTCATTCCCTTATAAGCAGTGATCGGACTTTAAAAAAAAATTCTGAGTGGTAGAATCTGGAAAAAAAATGTGGTAGATTTCCCAAAAATGTAGTAGATCTCAGGTTTTGGATCAAACTTTGTACAAAAATTAAATAAATTCTGCAAGGTTTCCGTTAAATTACAAACTTTTTAATTAGACTCTAAAAAAAAATAATTTTAGTATAATAAAGTGCAAGATTGAATTGCTAAAAATTGCGTTGAGTTTTGTCAATTATTTTCCTTGACAGTGTAAAGCAGTTACTTCCATATCAAGATATTTTTCGAACATAATTTGCAACCTTGCTGAGTGCTGCCAGATTTTCTTTTCATCACATCAGGATGTAGCGAACAAATGTGGCACGTTACAAAAACCGCTACTTGGGATTTGCCGATTTTGACAATTCTCAAGTAAAAGTAAACGCCTCTGAAACTTTAGATGCACTGAAATTTGCTAATACTTTCACAAAAGTATTTTTTTAACATTTTCGCTATTAATTCTTTTTATAAATCATATATTTTGCAATTTAACATAATAAAACCACGTTTCCTGTCGAAAAATTTATTATTGAGAAAATTTACTATTTTACAGTTTATAGCTTTGTTTACTTTTACTTGAAAAATTTCATCGCCGCCGGGAATGTGGAATATTGTATTATATAATTCTTGTTACCAAATAGTGTTTAAGGCTGGACAATTTTTGCTCTTAAAATTAAGAAAATTATGTCGACCAAAAATAAAACTAGGTACTCAAAAACGCGAATATGTGGTACATTTTAGACCTTGTGTGGTAGATGCTCAAAAAAGTGGCAGATCTACCACAATGTGGTAGAAGTCCGATCACTGCTTACAAGGCACTAAGGCTTTCCAAAACAAATTTAGGGTAATAAACCGAGGAATTTTACCCTTCAAACGCATTTTCCCAACAGAATAACCTCAGTATATTTATGAATTTATCAAAAAGTTTTGATTACTTTTTATTAAATAAAATTATGGTCCAGCATGCCGAGATTTGTTTTATTAGCATTCAATGTTTAAGCAGCCATAACAAGCCTTTGACAAAATGTGTGTGTCGAAGCCGCAGCCCCTAATCTTAAACGTAGAATACGTAATTCAAGTTGAATTCAAATTTTAAAATAGGTCGCAACTCTCCTAGATGTAGTTAAGAAATAAAATCTCTTAAAAACAACTTTGGTTTATATATAGTATATTAAAGTAATTTATTAAACTTATTGCATAAATTAAATTAAGCTTTGTAACCAGGTGGCAACCCGCTTCAAAATATTTTCAAACCAAAACCTCTTTTGTCTGGAAGCCATATTTAAATTTTCTATTTTTTTTAAACAGGTGGCAACGCTCCTGCATGTACTACAATTGGTCACAATGAGGGGCGGAAGCTGGCAAACGTCAGACTGCCTCTCAATGATTTTACCTTGTAAATAATGTTTTTATCATCGTATTTGGAACTGTACTCCTCATGCCGTCAAAATTAAATTCAACAAAAGCAACTTGAGCAAACTTCCCTCTATAACTATTTCTCTTCTAGTAGTATTTATCTAGTCCATAATTTTTAGTTTGTACATTTTATTTACTGAGATCTAATATCATATTTCATATTTTGTTTTAATTCTTGCATTAATATTAATTTACCTCTAAGTCTGTTTAGTTACATATATTGCTGTTGTACTTCAAAAGACTAAGTCTTATCGTACTAATTTTAAATAAAGATTAAAGAATGAATGAAAGAATATTTACCGTTGTTTCTACGACAGAAACCGAATTGGTTTCTTAAAAAAAGGAATCTGTCGATAGGCTTAGAATTTTATCTTTGAAATGCCATACTTTTCCTTTAAATCGTTTCATTAGTTCTCGTGTAAGGAGCGTTTTCATGAAGCTCTAAAAATTACAACTACAACATTTGAGCATAGCCTCCATACCGAAACGTAATACGTATTCTAAAACCAAAATATATGCGACAAATCTGGGACTGTCACCTATCGAAGTTTCAAAATTTCCGAACGATGGCGTGTTACCGGTCTCAACAACAATTTAGTCACAAGTTAACAGAAAAATTATGTATGACACTTAAAAGTTTGCTGAGATATTTCAAGCTGGAGTGTTTTTCAACTTTCTAGATTTTACTACTTACGATACTTAGTTAAGCACTTTTTTCATATGAGTCTCTGGTTGGTTCAAATCTTAATTTAAATACATATATGATATTTTTCTTTACACTATTTACACCATTACATACCTCTACGTGACCCCAACCGTCCGCATTCATTTTCGCGGCAGCTTCAACACTCTCTTTGGCGCCCATGTTCTCAGTTTATTGAATTTTTTTTTTTACAGAGAACTCTTCTTCAAATCTTAAATTTTCCAAAAAAACAGAGCTACACCAGATCGATGTGAAAGTGTTCTGCTAGACGTTCAGTTTAGACACTCAAATTACTCATACAAGCGCAATTGTCAAGTGATGCATCTGTTCAACTCGAGTTTGCTGGCAACGCCTGCTGCGTTTAAGTAATGATATGTAAAGAGACTTCGCGAAATAGGTCACAATTTAATTAAGCTTTATTTTGATTCAGTTCGACGCCTATAAGTAACTTTTCACTTTCGCTACACTACAGTTGTTGTCCACTTTTCTTTTGCGTTTTAAAGCGAGCTTAAATTTTCGATTGGCTCAATCAGATGTCACTCTTTAATTACAGATGACTGTGATGGGTTGTGTTTTCACTTTGTCCTACTCAGCTGTCAAAGTTTGTTTATTTTGACATTCGCATACAATCAAACATGCAGGCGTTTTGACTGCGACTGCTCCACTTGGATGCTGCACGGCGAGGCTTCTTCGTTCACTTTTTTAAAACCAAGGAGGCTGCAGGTGCTCTCTCTTATACTTATTCTCTTGTTTCAGCTGCTTAATGTTGCGCTCTCTTTGACTTGCTGGCTGTTGGCTGCTGGCTGCTAGTCTGTGTTTATTATATCGTTTTTGTTTTTGTTGCTTCTAGTCGCAGTTTCGTTAAGTACCTATGATTGTAAGATTTGTTAGTGCCGCTGCTGCTGTGCTAATTTTTCCTCTCGACTGCGACAACTGCAGAAGTTTTGGGTGTTTTCAATGCTTTGTAATGTCGTTTTGTGCTTTAATATATGTATGTACTTTATTGTTGTTTGTAAGGAGAATAGTTTTATAGTTAGTTTATGGCTGCTTTATTTCGATTATTATTTTTTGTGCTTTGTTTTCCTTACTTTGTCGTACTGGTTTTAAGCTTTTAAATTTGCTTAAACTTCTCGACTCTCCTTAATGAAGCGTGTTCGGTGATAAAATCGTATGCTTTCGTAAATACGTGCGTGAATTTACGTGCATATTTTGTGTAATTTTCGAAGTCAAGCTCAAAAAATTCGTAGAAATATTTTCACTTTTCGCAATCTTTTACAGCTGGTTTTTCACAATTTCCACTTTCTAAGCGACTGCCTTGGTCGTTTGCCACGAAAAGACTTTAGTAACGAGAAAAGTCAAACGCACAGCTACATTCATATACGGGCACACACACACATACATACACACACATATACCTACACATATGTATGTACGTAAGTTCAAACAGGCTGTTGTGCTGTTACACGAATAAACGACGAATGCGAAAAACTTTAACGACTGGCTTTGTATAATATATATTTTTACACTTTTTGCACGCCTTTCGATTATTTTGCTACATATTATATGCGAATTTTGCTGCGTAAAAATTAAATTTTCCCCTTCAACCTTAGCACACGAATCCACACAGGCAATGCTTTATTGGATGAGTTCAAGGCTCCGGAAAATGTGGAAAATTAGAAGAATCCTACAATGCAGTTGTCCGCTGCTAGAGATCCCATGAAAATAGTTTTAAAAAGTTTTCGAAAGTTTGCCGAGCCTTTTTTTTTTGGGGGCGTTCTGTTACAATTTATGTTTTTTTTTTGGCTATAATTCACTTCTCGCACATATTTTGCAGCGTATACTTTTCTTGCTTTACCACGTTTATCACTATTTTATTAACCAACTTTCGCACTCTTTAAATTGCCATTTTTTTAAATAATTTTATTAGCCTTAAAACTTTTCACCCACTCACTTTCTGTACAATAACTCTGAAAAGTATGCAATATTTTTGGAATTATTTTCACTTGGCTCTCAACTCCCACTGCTGCTACGCACGACTGCTGAACGACAAATGCGCACGTTGAGCGTTGAGACGAACGGTAAAGCAAATTCAGCGAATGCTGCCACCACTTTTACTCACACAAACACAACACAAGCACAGTTACAGACACATCGATAAAATGCTGCTGTGGCACTGGCAATCAGCGTCCCTATCACACACACACATACACACACATCAACACATAAATACTGTTGCTTTACTGCCGAATGCTGCTGCTGCTGTTGGCGGCGACGTTAACGGTGTGGCTTGACGTGCGACACTAGGCAGACGGCAGGCGGCGGTGGTGGCTGCTTCTGACGTTGAAGTCGCGTTAATGTTGCTGACGATAATGATGATTACAATGTTGTGGATCGATACAACAATGCGTCGCAGAGCGAAATATTTTAAATTAATGTTGGACTACGTTTGGTTATCAGGTAGTTTATTAGGTCACTTTACCACTTTGTTATTCATCTAATTTCCTTAGTAAAATTGCTATTTTTCACTCGTTCATATAAACATTTGATTTTTATCCTTTTTTTATTTCACACTCACATGCCGCTGATTAAATCCGTGAATTCGCCTTCAACTTTAAACCAAAGTATTTGTCAGCAAATGTCAAAACACTGGCCAAGTAAAATGTCAAAAACTCAACGAAACTTCAGGTCTCAAACTGAACGTTTGTGTAGTTCAATGGAGAGCGCACTTTCTCTTTCTTGGTGCGACAATATCTTTACCAAAATATTGAAATTTTCTTAACAGAAGATTTCACTTTGTAAAACTCTGTTCAACTTTATCACTATTTATGCATAAAACACTTGCCTTCTTTTCACTAAGCGCTGTTTAGTTTTGATTATTTATACAGTATTTCTATTCTCTTTCGGCACTACTTTCGCAACCTCTTTGCGCTGCGATTTAGCTGCTTTGGAATGAGAGAATCGGCGTAGAAGTTGCATAAATCACCACACCTTAATTTACTTTTTTCAATTAAATGCAGAAATTCTTTGCAATCACACGAAAGGGAAGCTTCAGATCATTGTTATAATTTTCATTACGCAGTTCACTTTACTGTTTACACTTTCAAGACCAAGCCATCATTTGCATTTTCTACCAGGCGCACTTTTTTCAAGCACACTGCAAATGCATGTCCCGGAAAGAGCAAATTCATCAACTTCCAATTTTAGAATTTCACTATTCATGAATTTATTTTTGAGTTTTACTTTTCTACCATTCAGATGGTCATTTTATTTTTCACTTCACTTTTTTCACTGCCCAGCATTTACTTATCTACACACAACATTTACATATAGACTATTATATATATATTTTGCTTGATTCTCTGTGGCAGCTCAGCTTTCGCCTAGAAGCATAACAACACCGCTACACAACCGAAGGCTTCGAAGTTTTGATATTGTTTGACCGCAGCTTCAATTCAATTCTGGCTGGCTGTGGCCTGAGTTTTGGTCCAGTTGCTGATTTGCGAATTCGCCGTCATGTAAAGAGGAATTGCATGCCATTGCATGTGGCGCTCGAAGAGCATTTGTTGAAGGAACTCTCAGAAAATACACTCGCACATACCAAAACATGCATCCATACATACTTAAATAAGTACATATGTACATACAGTGCGGGTGTGCGTAGGCACAGGTCCGTGTGTTTACATTTTTATTGTATGTAGTGACTGCACTCATTTTGCTGTTGTTTCATTTTAATGGATGCCATGACTTGCACGTCAACCAGCCACCACACACACACGCACACACACCGCCAGCCAGCCAGCCATCCAGCTCAGCATTCCGACAGCTGCTCCAGTAATATTTACGCTTGAATGTATGTGTGTAGGTGTTTACTCATGTATATGCATATATATATGCGCCTGTGTGCTTGCTATGTGAGTATTTGAGTGTTTTCTGCGTGCTAATGGAGAACGTAGAATTGTTGGTGAATCGGTTTGGTGTTGGTTTAGCGCTTTTACTGTTAGTTTCTCACACATTTACTCCTCACATCTTTTCACCTATTTCACTGGTGAAAGTTGTTCGCTATTAACACTGTCACTTGTCATTTTTTTGCAGCGTTTTTGTTGTGAAAGTAAGGATTCTTCACAGACATACAACCGCACACATACCTAAGTATGTTCAAAGGTGAGTATGTGCAGAATTAAAATGCATTTAAGTTCTTTGTTTTACTTCTAGTAGCTCATTGTGTTATCATTTTCGTTTAGACTTTGTGTGTGTGCGTTTTTTTTCGTTTGTTTCATTATTCGAGTTGGAGTTCATTGTTTTCCGTTTATACATGGTTACACATACATACATACATACATACGTGTACATTTAGAGAAGCACTGGCTTGTCAAACGAATGTAGGGCAGCAGTGATTATGTTTGCATTTTAATTGTTGTTGAAGATTTTTTATGTATGTACTACATGTGCGGCGATGTTAATTCGATCAAAGCTTCAATTGTTTTGAATAAGTACTCCAATAATTTTATTTATGCACATTTTCCTTTAATGGTTGCATCAAGTGGTGTGAGATTTTTTGGCAACAAAAAAATTTATAAAACAAAAAGAACGTCGTGCACTATTGTGTTAAGCGATTCGATTAGCTCAGTAATGTAAGGGTCAAGGTTGAAGGGTTGCTTTTCAAATAAGTGTAAAATAAGGGTACCAAACGAAAAAATTTTACGAAAACCTTAAATTGAACATTTAGAATATTTTTGAGGTATTTTACGAGCGCTGCTACCAGTTGAAATAGTTAATTTAAAGCAAAAAAAAAAATAATAATTTGAGAATTCTTGCTTTGAATCTTAAGTTTAAAAATTTTATTTTTGGCTTTTCAGTTCACTTGTATTATATTTTTTTAAACTTGGTTAATTTTTTTGGTAAAAAGCTTTAAGGCAACCAAAGGTACAGTAATTTTTTTATGAAAGTAAAATTGAATGTTTAGCACAAATAATGCTTTTTGAATTCTATTCCTAGGTATATGAGCAATTTGTAAAAAAATTAAATTTATTAAAAAAATAAAACAAAACAAGAATTGCAATTTTACAAACTGACCACTTTGTTTTGTTGCCCAATAAGTTCATAAAATCATAAGATTCGAATGAATGGTTGCTGAAATATTTCAAAAAGTGTAACTCCCTTCTCTCCGCAGAAAAAAATCGCTTAAGCATTCTTGCATTTATTTCAATCAATAGAGTTCCAGAAACAAGTATGTACAATAAATAATAACTCAAGTATTTTGAACAATTTTAGCCCTAAAACGTTTATTTAGGCGAAAAAGTATGTACATCAAAATGTTATTAAACGGTGAACACTTGTGTGTCACCCAATGGAAAAAAATGAGGATTTGAGAAACTAAAATTCCATTTTTACAATTTTTATTGGCACACTCGAAAATCATTCTAAAACTGTTATATATGTACATACATGAAGTAGGTAATATATGTATGTATTTGTGCATAAGGAATACTGTGTAAAAATCTCGCACGCTGATATGCAATTATGACTTTAAGTTAAGGCGTGCGAGGACTGCGTATGGTGCTACGTGGCGAATACGTTACATACGGAACTATGGGTATATCGCATACCTATGTAGATCTAAAGTGCGATCAACAGGCCTATTCTGCGTTGGTAACAAAAATTTTGTTACCGGTAAATAAAATTCTTATCAATTTTTAAACCATTTTCGCATTCTGCGCACTCATGTAACCGGTACATTTTGTTACCATCTCATAAACAAGTAACGAAATATTGCCCCGTTATGTATGCAACACCAAGAATTTCTACATAACTTCGTAGCTGTATTGCTGAATAAATTAAAACGTTGCCAGGGTAAATAGTATTGCGGTTGCAAGAAGTGGTGAACATTGTTGGTAAAAAAATTTGCTTGTTACTAAATGTTCGGTAACAAGCAGAATAGGCCTGCAAGTCAAAAGAAAATTAAGACCTTCTTATACCTTTCATGAGCGTGAAATAGTATTATAACTTTGGTCCGATGTTTGTAAGTACCAGAATAAGAAGAGATAGACCCATTAAAATGTATACTTATTTGATCAGAACGTCGAACGGAGTCGATTTAGCCATGTCCGTCTGTCCATCTGTTTGTATGCAATCAGTCCTGAGATTTTTTAATCTAAATTTTATTACAAATTTTTAAATATAGCAATTAAAAATTTATAATAATTTACCTCAACTATTCTTCTCTTTTTAACCGACTACAAAAAAGGAGGAGGTTATCAATCCTTATTTTTTTATGTATGTTACCGCATAACTTTGGACCACATTAACCGATTTCGATAAAACTTTTTCTGGTGCCCCAGGGGAGGTCCCATACTAATTTGGCGTAGATCCGATCATTAAATCATGAAGAAATATACAGTACTTCTAAATTTTTATATTAGAATTGAAGTCGGTTGTGATTTTTGCTTAAAAATTACTTATTACTGTAACAATTGAATTGTACCGAGCCCTACAAAGGAATTTTGCTTGCTTGAGAATTTTCGTTATAAGTCCTCCACATGTACAGCTAGAAATATGAAATTTGGCACTACAACTGATTGTTCAAATACAAGTTTGTGCGATATAAGTCCTTTATTTAGGTAGCTAAGCACTTAAATTGTGTTACCGCTTTACATACCGATCACACATAACACTTAAAATCATTTAGATTGGTGCTTTATAAGGTATATCCTCCATACCACTAAATTTTTATATATTTTTTTATACATATACATATGTATGTACAGTAGAGTGGTCCACAAACAATAAAGTTGGAATTTTAATGCCGCACTCGCAACCGCCCGCCCCTCCCCCCAAAGAATTGTTCCGAACCGAACAAAATATACCCATATTTTTTATTTTGAAATCAAAAAATATTTAGGGAGTGCTCACAGCGCTCAAAGTTTTCAATGTATTTTATATGGGGAAAAACAACTTTTCGTAGAAAGGGTATAAAATTCTTGAAAATCAATATTTTCAATCGGAAAACTGTGATTCTCGTCAGGAGACTTCCAGTATTAAGATCTAATTGTTTATTCAACAATTTTATAATATTTTAGATTTTTTATTGGTCCCCCCTTTGGTATTTCTGGGCGTTTTGGATGACCTATCAAATATAGTGAAGAAATGGTTAAAAAAAACAATTGGGTATTTTTACTGGGAATCACCTGAAGATAAGCAAAGTTTTCCTATCGAAAAATATCGATTTTCAAGAATTCTATACTATTTCTACGAAAAGTTGTTTTTCCTCCATATACAGCATGGCGACGAATAACTGTTACCCAGGTTTTTCTGAGAAATAAAAGGGTCCTTTATAAATTTTGCGAAAAAAGTATTTTATTGTTAATCCTCCACAGATTTTACTTTAGTTGTATTAATAAGTTTTTAAATTTTTAATCCCTATTTACATTTGCCAGCAGTGTAAACATGGAACATTTTGAGCGCTTTGGGCACTCCCTACATTTTTTTATTTCAAAATAAGAAATAGGGGTTTTTGTTTTCAGTATAGAACAATCCTAGGGGTGGCGGCATTAAAAATACTACCTTTTTTCACAAACATTTTCAGACCATCCTAATGTATACCTATGCAACTCCTCTACCTATATATGCTGTGGATATACAAATTTTGTTTACCTCCCAAACGACTCATTTCAAATGCAGTAATCTGTTAAAGTAAAATTTTCTGATGTTGATGAAAGGTATGAAGCCTTCGACATAGCCGAAGACGGCACTGCTCTTACTTGTTTTTTGCACAAATCATTGCCTAGCAGCTATCTCAAATGAATACAAATATTTTTTATTTTCATCATTATATAGACTAACTAAAAAACTACTGCTATACCTGTTTTTGTATTAATTGCGTTGAATCTGTACGATCCACAAACAGTTATATTTCCCGATCTAAAATTTGAGTTAGCTCACTTTAGATCAAGGTGTGCGATATGAGCATGAGTAATTATTTTTACCTTTTTAGTATATATGTAAAAGTTTAAAAATAATTTGCAATGTCAACAGAGTTGAAAAGATTTTCGGGTACTATATTGAAAGACTAAGTTAACAAACCCTTGAGGTTAGCTGATTAAGTCTAGTGACATTTTGACTAATTTCGGCTATTTGATTACAACGCTCTTATCAACTTGCAATGTTGTGTGTCCAGACCACCATTTATACTATAAATATAGCAAAGCTATTTATGGCAAAATCTAGATATCAACCTCGTTGTAGGCGTCATAGCAAAAATATACAATTAGGAGACTCTAGATGTCGCCGCGCAAGAAAAAGTAAAATATTGCGCCCAAAAATATGCACTACATACGCTACAGTGAAAATGGACGACACGCCATTTCTTTAAATGAAATTAATAGCTGCTATATGAATGTACGTATATACTAAACGTCAAAACATTTGGCTTGCATAGTCTTCTGT